TAAACTATTTTTTTTTGTACATTTCGAATTTTTAATGGGGGTGATACCAGAAGGAGTATTTCTGGTACCTCCCCCACATAAGTTCGAAAATTTAAAAAAAAAAAATGTTTACTGCACAGAAAGATAAAGGATGATCCGAATTTGCTCTAGATTTGCAAATACTAATATTTGCATCAGTGCTAGGTCATGTCTGAAATGGTCCATCTTCGAACTAGATCTAAGTTTGATAATAACGTTACGATGCACCAAGTTTGGACCAAATCAGATACCCCCTTCGAAAGTTATCGTGCGCACCAATCAGCCAGACAGGCAGAAGGACGAACACCGCTAGATCGACTCCAAATGTCCTGAAACGGGTTTGATCCAAAGGCACCTAGTGTCTAAAAACGTTATTTCGATGAGACACGTTTTGGCCGTATCAAATGAATTATACTCTCTCTAGCCATATGTCTAATGGCGTAAAAATATTTCAGATGAAATTAATTGCTACTCAGAGACTCATAATCTACTGTGTTTTCTTGGAAATATTTTAGGTGTTGCGCGGTTTTAATATCAATTTAAAAATTTATTTTAAAAACATTTATTAATCGGTAGTGATATACCATACCAAATTGGCACGATTTAGCACCTTTTACTACCTACCTAACCTAATTTTATACCCTCACGCCCACAGTGGTCTTCGTGTAAAATTTAGATATTCCAACCTGTGTTCGGTTGTTGATAAATCCAGCACTCAATCTGCCACTTACTCAATATCTCTCCTTTATTTATAAAAAATCAAACAACGTTTTTTTCTGTTTTGAATTTTTAAAATAAAATTTACCATTTATTTTCCAGCAAATGAATAAAATTACATAAATGACAATTGTTGTTTGTGTTTTTTTTTTTCCTTAAAATATTAGACATTTTTGTTGTTTTTGATTCCTTTTAACAATAAATACATAATTATTTACAAATGAATTCTGTTGTGTGAGAGGAACTTTAAGTTCATTATTATAATAATTTTCCAAACTTATCTCTGAAATATATTTGAGTAATTTATGTATTTTATCTAGTTTCTTTTTTCACTTAACTAAAATTTGTTTTTATGATTTTTGTTTTTCATAAAGTTTTTATAACTAAACTTAAACAACTATTCAGTTTTTTTTTTGGTTTCTGTGAATATAAACAACAGTTACTTTATAGTGATACGAATAAATAAAAAAAAAATAAAGTTATTTTACAATTTACTTTTCTGAATATATCTAAGGTATGCACACACACAATATTTTTTTGTCGTTTATGGCACAGGAAAGAAGTCAAAGAGGGGTAGGGGAGGTGAGGGAAGAGAAAGATGCAGGTATACTCTGTACACAAGCGAGCCATGTATTTCAGCTGCATGCTCCGGCCATTCATGAAACCTTTAAAAATGTATGACATTTTTTATAGACTTTATGAAAATGAGCTGATGCTGGGTAGGTGGCGCTGGCGGTGTGCTCGTCGTAAACTTATCAAGAATAAATAACGGAGAACAATACGTGAATATAACTGCCCGCAGTTTGTGAGTTTTTGTTAAAGGACTGTTCCAAAGACAAGTAATAAATTTTGAATGAACTTTAAACTAGGATACTCATTTTTTGTCCAAAGTATGAAATGGAACCTATTCAAAATGTAAAGAAAAAAAAAAACACTTTGTAGAACAAACATTTTGTATTTCATATTTCCTAGGAGGCCAGAGTAACAATTGTTTCTCAGAACCCAATACTACTTTTGCGAAGGACTCTGTCTTAGAGCACTTCAGCATTTAAATGTGAATAAATCTTTTTGTATCGCTTTACCGCGATACTGGTAGCGTAGCCCAAATATTGAAACATCAGCTTGAGGTAAAGTCCACACCATCACCATTCCAAAAAGTGCAAGAACTTACACCGCAACAGAAAGAAAATAGACTCAAAAGAGTTGCTTCGCTTAGCCAAAAGTGGTGATCTGCCGAATTTGGTTATCTCCGATGAGAAAACATGCGTTGTCCAGCAGTTTGTAAACAAACAAAATGATAGTGTTTACTGCCAAGAAGTCAGCTGAAAATGTGCATCTTCGGTTGGCCACCAGAACTCAAGCGCCGGCCAGGCCGATGGTCGCTCTTCGCTCGTATTAATCGACCGTGGCATCAGATTAAATGCCGAATATTATGGCGAAAATATTTTGGAGGGCACGCAAACATTTTGGCCGTAGACCTTGTACATTCCAACAGGACTCGGCACCATCGCACTCAGCACGCGCCACCCAAGAATGGTTTCAAAATGAGGTTCATCGTTTCATTTCCAGCGCAGAATGACCACCAAAATCTCTGAATATACATACATTTTTGGACTATTGTGTCTGGAGTATTTTGGAAAACAAGTTTGGCACTTAAAAACACCAAAGTATTAATCACCTCAAGCAAGCGCTTCGTCGGGAATGGACCAAAATATCACAGAGCAACATTCGGGCAGCGTGTGGCGGTTTCATTGGCAGTTTGAAGGCCATAATTCGTGCCAAAGGTGACTAATTTGAACAAATCTAAACTTATTTTGAAATTTGATGCTATTTCCGACATTTTTGCTTTCATTCCATAAAATTAAAAAAAATTGCAGTTTTTTTATCACACCCTGTATGGGCGCTATACCGAAGCCCTGATTGACATTAATTTCAGAAAAGTGTTCCACGGCCTAAGAAAAAAAAAAAAAAATAAGTTAAAAACAACTCGATTGGAAAATATGACTAAGACCCTAGCAATAACTAAAATCAAGGGATATCATTACATGAGGCCTATACCAAACGGGGGAGTAAATCCACTGAATGGAATGGAATACCAACTAATAAACAAGTAAGCAAAGGCTATAGTCGTGCGGGGACGACTATGTTATACCCTACAACACTGCAATATGTTAGAAGCCCTTGTTATATCCAAAAACATATTGGAAGATTTCGCTTTTGAAATTAGGATTTTGATTAGTGACATTTGCCCAATATTTAGGCCCTCCGTCGTGCTGCTAGTTGTTGTAGTCCATTATACAGCTAAATATAATCCAGTGGTCATTCAAAATGCTAGAATTTTTCCCAGTACTTAACTCTCTTCTCAGGCGTGTCTATTGGTCCAAATTGTGTGATCGGAAAAACATTACTGTTTTTGGTTAATTTGGAACCCTAAATATTTTGCAATCATCTCCAAAAGAAAGAAGCCCCTCTGTATCTCCAAATTTAGACTCATCTATAAGATTTGCTTGTCTACAATATTTGGCTATATTCGTCAACGAAATTAGCATAAAAAAGTCAGAAGTTCGCCTTTTGTGTATTTCGGATATAGCCTGTAAGTAATGCTGATTCTTCAAAATTAGTGGTCCATTGCACCCGCTGTCCTAAACTCTAACTTTATGCGAGATTTCGTGTACTTTGGTTTCTATTTGTGAGCTTTATAACGGTTGCAAAATTAGGACAATTTTAAGTTGTTGGTCCATTTCAACCGATAATATATTGCGGACATCTTTGAAAACAATAGGCTTAGCCCTTCTGAGCCCAACCTTACCCTTGTGAAAATTTTCGTGAGGATCGGACGATATTTGCAATACTTATATAATATCCCCACCTGTATTGTAAGGTGAAAAATATTACAAAATATTATAGGTCAAATTGAAAAAATCGCATGCGATAAAAAATATGAAAAAATAAAAAAATGTCACAAAATACTACAAAATCTATATTAACATCATTATTGGCATCTTTTTCTGCGATTTTTTTAGATTTTATACTTTTATGTCAAGAGGGCATTCTGAATTGACAAAATTTGTCAAAATCGGTCCAGCCATTCTTGTGATATAAGCATTCTAACTAATATCCCCTTCCTTTGTATATAATCATTGTACATATTTCGCTATATATATCCGATATATTTACTATCGGCATCTACGTAACGGTCAGAATTGACCTGTTCGTCTATTTGTGATTCGTCGGTATTAAAAATATTCGCGGTTTAATGGAAAAATTGACTTTTATTAAACACAAATGTTGTGGCCTGTTTCACCCACTAAATATTACCCGATGACCATCAAAATTTGGTAGGCTTCTACCCAGCCCTAAGCTCTAGCGTCATGCTAACTTCCGCTTTGATTGGTCTATAATTGCGATCTGTAGAGCAACTGCAAAATCTGGATTTTTTTCAGTTTTTGGTCCATTTCAACCCCTAAATATTATGCGATCGTCTCCATATTCTGACCTTAGTCCCACCTCCATTCTAAATTTCGTGAAGATCGGGCCATAATTGCGACCTGTAGAGTGATTACAAATTAACATGGGCAGACGGACAGACAGACGGACGGACATACACAGCTAGATCGACTCAGCTCGGCGAGATAGGAAGATTCATATATACTTTCCTATGTGGGAAATCAATATTCCGAGGTGTTACCTAATTTTTGGCCCAATCAAATTTATAATACCCCCAACACATAGTGTTGTACGGTATAAAAACAAGTAAGGAAGTATCAGCCGGTTTGTCGAAAATATTCGATTAAGCAAATTTTGGTAGTAGTAAATGTAGACACATGGCAGAAATAATAGTTTTAAGAAAATTTCCATTTATTGTATTAAACAGGGCTCTGTTAAAGTTTCTATATCAATGATTCACAAAAGAAATGACAAACTTTATACTCCATCCATTTTATCGTTGAATTGCAAAAGTTCCAAATTTCAATTAATTTTTGTCTCTCTCTCCTTTTTTGAATTCGAAATGTTATATGTATATATATATATATATATATATATATATATATATATTATATATATATATATATATATATATATATATAATATATATATATATATATATATATATACATATATATATATATATATATATATATATATATATATATATATATATATATATATATATATATATATATATGTATATATATATATATATATACATATATTCAATACATTCATTCTTTATATTCAAATATTCATTTCATATCTAACCGGAACAGTCCTTAAAATACATCTCTTTAAACTAAACAAAAAAATATGAGGCGAAAATTTTCCTATACATTCTTAAAACTAGGGAATATCAGAATCTGTTTGAGTTGAAACTAGCTACCATCTACAATAGCGAGTAGTACTTCGGATGCCGAACAATTGCAAAATGTTGTCTAATACAAGTCCTGTACAAAAGGATACGGACACATGCCTTTCTCTCACACTCTTTCGCTGTTTCTGTTGGTTGGCATATTTTAATAGTTTGTTTCTTGCGAATGGCTTAAAGCCATGTTTTGTCCTGATTATGAAATGTATTAGATTTTGTTGCTGCTGTTGTACTGCTCGAATAAAGCATTTTAATACCACCGCCACCCGTAGAACTTCTATCATCCAAGTTTATAGCTTCGTGCTTTGATGTGAATGTGTTGTTGTTGGTTTTGCTGCTCGCTTTGCCAACTTCCAAGGTTAGGCCATTCGAAGTTCTTTGCCTGTCATAATCATTACTTGAATTATTGTACAGCAATAATGAAGAGTTCGAATTGGCGGGGATGCCGGCAGCAGCAGCAGCAGCAGTGGTGCCCGTGCCATTTGTCAATGTTGAACTGGTATAGAATAGACTTCCGTTTCCGTTGCTATTGCCACCATTATAAAGATCTTTTACTGCTTTGTCGCCGTCGTCCACTTCTACCTCGCAACCTCCTCCATTTTGTCAAGACATTAAAGCCGTTCGATTGGCCAAATAATTTGTATCACTTACACCATTAAACGCCGTCGGACATGTCCCAACCACATTCTCATTCGTTGCCGGTGTCCCCGTTGTCGCCGCTATTGTTGTTGTTGCCATTGTCCATTTACCATTCGGCCGTAGATTTGATTTTAGCAGCTTTTCTTTGGAGTTGTTGGCCGCATACAAGTGCAGGGGTCCATTACCGGTCAACGAAGCCAATTCATGGGAATTGTTGACACTGTTGGCCAACTTGACACTGTTCCGTTGGTGATACGAACCGTGATGATGTGGATGCGAATGATGATGTAGATGGTGTTGGTGATGCTGTGAATAATTGCCGCCACTTATATTACAAGTGTTTGGGACCATTGTTGTTGTAGTTGTTATGGGTGCTGAGTGGCGGCTGCTGTCACGGTGAGTTGTTAAAATTGTTGAACTACGAAGGATACCTAAAAGAAGAGAGAGAGAAAGAAAGACAAAAAGAATATGACAAATTATCCAGGGTCAGTTTTTTTGATTTTCGATGATGATTAATGAAGGACGATTAGCAGAGTCTTAGTAAAAATCAAATGGGAGTGAAAGTGTTGATGCGTTGTGAATGGAATATATCTAAGCCTTGCCTTTCTATGGATCTGCTATGACTCATAAAGACAAACACCTATTTCTAGGGGAATTATTCGCAGATTAAAGACAAACTATTACCTCCACCCACAAAAATATAAACCCCAACATCACAATCTGGTGTAGAACCGAGCTAGTAAACTTGTACCAGATTTTGGCAAAGGTTCCTATGGCACCTGCGATAATCAAACTCGAGCCAGAGAGATAAAAAAACTGCAACAGAGTCAAACGCCATAATTTTAACATTTTTTTTTTTAAATTTCATTGAATGAATGCGAAAAATGATTTAGATTTTTTCGAAGTGGCCACCTTTGGCACGAATTATGGCCTTCAAACGGCCAATGAAACCGTCACACGCTGCCCGAATGTTGCTCTGTGGTATTTTGGCCCATTCCCGGCGAAGCGCTTGCTTGAGGTGATCGACACTTTGGTATTTTTTAGTGCCAATCTTGCTTTCCAAAGACACAATAGTCCAATGGATTAGTATCCGGAGATTTTGGTGACCATTGTGCGCTGGAAATGAAGCGAAGAACCTCATTTTGTAACCATTCTTGGGCGGCGCATGCTGAGTTCGATGGTGCTGAGTCCTGTTGGAATGTCCAAGGTTTGCGGCCAAAATGTTTGCGTGCCCAAGGCTTTAAAACACCCTCCAGAATATTTTTGCGATTATATTCGACATTTATTCTGATGCAACGGTCGATTAATACGAGCGGAGAGCGACCATCGTCTGTTATGGCGGCCCACACCATCACCATGGCCGGCGCTTGAATTCTGGTGGCCAACCGAAAGTGCACATTTTCAGCTGTCCTCCTTGGCAAGTAAACACGATCATTTTGTCTGTTTAAAAACGGCTGAACAATGAATGTTTTCTCATCGGAGAAACCCAAATTCGGTAGTTCACCACTTTCAGCCAAGCGAAGCAACTCTTTAGCTCTTTTGAGTCTATTTTCTTTCTGTTGCGTTGTAAGTTGTTGCGTTTTTTGGAATTTCAATGGCTTTACCCCGAGTTAATTTTTCAATATTTGCCGAATGGAATATTGCAATATGTTCAGTTCACGAGCCATTTTTCGGCCACTGTGACCCGGGTTTCGATCAAGTCGCTTCTTTACTTTTCGAATCATTTCTGCTGATGCTGCTGTTTTCTTCCGCCCACTTCCTTGACGTCGCGCTACGTTACCAGTATCACGAGCGATGGTAAGAGACACAAAAGATTTATTCACATTTAAATGCTGGAATGCTGTAACGATAGCCACTTGTGGTTTTCCAGCCAAATATCACACTTGAATTCCATCACAAATACTTTTTTTCTGGAAAATTCTCACCAAAATGCTTTTGTGCGCTTGTAAAGACTGTATGAATTTTAACAGCTGTCGGACGAGTGGCCTAGAAATGACAGCAATCCTAAGTTGGTTGCAGTTTTTTCATGTCACCCTGTATTTTTAAGGTAGATTCGCAGAATAAAGATAAAATATCACTTCCACCCACAAATATATAAACCCCAAGATCAGAAGTTGATGGACTCCAAATAGAGCCGGACTAATAACTTTGCACCAGATTTTGGCAAAGGTTCATATGGCAGAATGCCTTTGAATCCAATTTAAAATTCCTGATATCTCCTTTATGTATATTGCATTTCAATATGTTTTACTTATTCTTTCACTATTCCCTATGTTTCTAAAGTTCATTCAGAAATTTGAAGCTTACACTTTATTCCCATAAAACTAAAAAAAATATTTCCGCGAATTGTTGCCAATTATAAAAAATGTTTTCCAAAATCACTGATTGACACGTTTATCTTTGTTGACCATTAACTAACCCCTTCGTTTTCCTATTATGCAAATATTTATGAACCTTTGCTCTACATTGGATTTTTTCTATTTCCATTCAAATTATTTTTGGTGTTTTTTATGTTGCTGAGTTTCCATGATAACGAGTGATTTGAAAAAAAAAAATCGAACTTACCACAGTGGGAAATGCGACGACTTTTTGGTGAGCCAGGGCAGGTGTAGAGAAACGAGCGCTGAGTATCTAAAAAATTGGAGGAAAAAGTTCAAAGTTATTGGAAAGAAAAACACTAGGTAAATGGAAAAACTGTAACAAGGTGTCAATTTTAATTGTCAAAGAAATATTGAAGGTACAATATTCTGTGTTCACTGTACCACAAAAACAGGTCAAAGCTTACACCTTTAACATTTGTCATCGGATGGCTTCAATTAATTCATATTCATCAATTTTTTTAATATGTCAAATGGTAATAAATAGATTTGAACAAATAAACTGAACTGACATTAGAATGGGTCGAATAGAATAAGAAACGTGACTAAAATCTTAAAATTGTTCTTTCAATACATATTAAGGATTGTCAATCTGTGCGTCTGTCAGTCTGTTTGCCTGGTGCGTGCGATGTGGAGTTTTTGATTTTGTCCAAACTTGGTATCAAGATTAAATCCAGTTCGGCCTACATTTTCTGGTTCCTCCCCCCAAAAGTTAAAAATCTTCACAGAAAACAAGTTAAAAATTATCAATTTTGTGAAAACTATGCAAAATCCAATTTTTATCAGTGCCAGGTCAAGTGCGAAAATGTGCAATATCGACCCACTCTATCAAGTAACTCTTATAAAATATAAAATAAGATTTGCTCTAAGTTGTTAGAATTTTGAATAACCAAAATTTTAAAAAAATGCGAAATACGTAACTGAATCTTTCTAAACCTTATAAATTCCAATGTTTCTACTAACACAAGATCTCCTGTGAAATATCATTTATCGGCCGTTTCATTCACATTTTGATTAACAATTATTCGCATAAAATTGGAAATAATATTCTGGTAGTCGATGTAATCCGAATCTAAAATTTTTGTAATATTTTTATCAGACTTAGGTCAGATACAAAATGGACAATATTGGCCCACAGCTTCGGGCCACTAAACCTCTAATATTTGTCCAAATGGGATGGAATTTGGCACTTACGGTTGAGTCTAGAAGCTAGTATGTCAAATTTGGTGAAGATCGGTTCAGACATAGCTATAGCTCCCATATATACTCTTCATCCGATTTGTTATATTTGTTACCCACAGCTGTAATATGCACTCCGTAACGACGATTTTCAGGGATACATATATAAAATGCGGCTCTGAAATATCTTTGTCAAATTTTATCGAGATCGGTTCCGATTTGGATATAGCTCCCATATATATTTTTATTCGATTTTAAGTTAATTGTGCACCAAATGGGTAATACAAGTCCGAATTTAAAAGATACAAATGTTTCGGCATTTTCAGTCCTTTGAACTTTAAATTATAATCATAGCGTGTATGAACTTTTAATTGTTATGTGGAGCTCTACTAAATTAGCAAAGTGGTGTAGGGTATCATAAAGTCGGTCCCGCCCGACTTTAAGACTTTCTTTACTGGTGAAAACTCTATATGTTCTTCTTGTGAACCATTAGTATTTAACAAGTAAAAAAAAAAACATTATGTTCGGCCGGTCAACCTTAGGGTAAAGGAAATATTAGAACCCATTATGACCCACATATAGCATACTTTCAGACAAATTCGTGGGAAAATTCATCAAAATACCGAATATCGGGAGGTACCGTTATATGGGTGCTATACAAAAACGTGGACCTATACATACAATGTTTCGCCAATGGAGCTAGAACCCATTATGACCAACAAATGCCAATTTTTAAACAAATCCGTGAAAAAATGTGGCAATCATAAAAAATCGAATATCGGGAAAACGTGGACCTATACACACACAATGTTTCGTCACACGAGGTAGAACCCATTATGACCTACAAATATAAATTTTTAGACAAATGCGTAAAAAAATGTGGCAAAAATCATCAAAATACCGAATATCGGGAGGTACCGTTATATGGGGACTATACCAAAATGTATATATATATATATATATATACATATATATATATATATATATATATATATATATATATATATATATATATATATATATATATATATATATATATATATATATATATATATATATATAATATATATATATATATATATATATATATATATTCCGTGTTACAAACGGAATGATTACGTTAATATACCCTCCTTTCCAAGCTGGAGGGTATAAAAATGTGGCTAGGTTGGTTAAATTAACACGGACCCCAAAAATGCTGTGGATTTTTTAAAAAATTGCAGAAAGTCCATAAAACAAGAAGTTTTTTTTTATATCAGACTAAGTTTTTCTTTGCCAGGGAGTTTTAAAATTATTCCTCAAGAATCCATCATTTTTACCGGAAAATCCTTAGAGAAAACCACTACTTTTTTCCAGGAAGTCATCGATAACCTTTATCAAATCAACTATTGTTTTTATAAGCGAGACTTGAGAACTCCTGGAACCAACATTTTTGGAGTATATTTTTAGGTCGTTTTTGAATTATTTATAAAAATGTCCGCACATCATGACAGGTCCATGTTTTGTTTTTACTCCATAATTTTTGTTCAGGAAGGTTTTGTAAGAAATCATAATTAATAATATTTTTCTAGGATGATATTTTCTAGGAAATATTATTTCTAAGAATTTAACATTAACATTTGAACAATTGATTAGATATATCCTTTTAAAGGTACGGTGGTAAAGATTGGACGACATATCTCAATATTTGGGAAAATCTGTAACTATTTTCCTTTTTAGTGGAGTTATTATTATTCAAAATTTGTAAAATTTTGAGGAAGATATGACAAACAGTGGCCAAATACATTTTCTCATCTCTTCTGGCTTTATTCTGAAGCCAATGACCAAGATTGGACTACACTGATTTCTTCCGATTTCGATCCCTTTTATATGAGAATTTTAGTATTAGAGTACACTTATTTAACACTAACAGCGATCCATCCTGATATCAAATTTGACTATCCTATTTAGTTACCATTAAGTACTTTTCGTACACCCTGAAAAATCAACCTTCATATATAAACGCAAAGTGCTCACAGAGATTCCTATACCAACATTCTGAATTCTATTTCTTTTTCTACAGTCGTAGGAAAATGGTACAAACTATAGCATTATATAGTACAAATTTCAAAATCTACCTCCTTATCTAAAAGATACATTCCGTGCATGCTGTTACCAAAATTCATAATTCCAGCTCTATTCCTACACTTTATGCTACAAATCCACCTTCTTATTTAAATGCTACACTACACTCACAGTGATCCATGTATCAATATTTCGAATTCTAGCTTTTTTCCTATATTACGTATCATATTTAGTACCATTTAGAACATTTCGTACCAAATCCATCACATTATATAAAATCTATACACGCACACACAAATTTCCAAATGATACCTTTATCCATTGACCCAAAACCATAATGCACTATATGTTATACAATTTGGTGCACTTAAGCACACCTTTCCGAAAATCAGGCATACTTCCGAAATTTAATTCCTACTCCCAAATTTAGTTCCCATTCCCAATTAGCACTATCCATTCACATAACCGATTTTCTAAAAACCCCTTTTGATCCGTCTATTGTACACAGCATCAAATACCCTTAATCTAAATTTAAAACTCCCAGCACTCCCACCCAAACGCCCACCTATTTCCAAACCACTTCCTTATATTAATCCTACTTTCCAAAACTGACTGACTGAAATTTCCAAATTAATCCTCTATCTCAATTTAAATTTAAATAATATTTTAAAATTATTTAAAATACATTCGACCCAGTCCAATGTCTTTCGAACGTGCATGCATGTGTTGTGTTGTACAAAAATACCAAATTTGGAACATTTACCATTACGTTTGATGCGATTGTGATCGGGTGAACCGGAGCATGAATAACGTGATGTCAGGTTATCACGACGATTTAGACTTTCAGCGCCAACATGAACGAATGGACACCAGCGGAAAAACATTTTGAAGCCAAAGCGAAACCTGTAAAAAAAAAAAAACGAGAAAAGAGAAAGGTAATAAAATAACACATACACACACACACACACACTCAGACAAATGTTGTCAATAATAAATCAACATCAGAGGTATGCAATGTCAATGATGATGATGATGGTGGTGGCACACGTTGCAGCTGGTGCAGTAACGGCACCCGAAGCAGCAGCAAGAGCAGCAGAGGCAGTAAAGGATATAAATTAAGTCATTGGAATAAAAACGGATTAAATGCAATGGTAATGGAAAGCGTATTCTCCCCCCATGTACTCCATCCCCGGTTCTACGAACTACAACCATCCAATTCAACCACCCATCCTCCGCAACTATTCCAGGATAAACTGTTGTTTAATGCCGGAAATGCAACTTTGGCGGATGTTCAAGAATGTTGGGCAACATAAAAACCGCAAGAGCTCAGACAAGGAGGTGGATGAGTAGGGAGAGGGGAATGGAAGGGATTCCACGTCAACAACAAACGACAACAGCAACAATAACATTAACGAAAGGAAAGGAAGTTGAACAGACCGGAATATAAGACAACCATGTTACGTGCAATTGCAAACAAGCAAAACAAAACAACAAAAATACAATGAGAACAAGAAATGAAAGTAAAGGATGATGGGCGCAGCAAAAAAAAAACTGAAAATAATAATAAAAACAATAACAATACGAACGAACGAACGAAGAAAGGAAAATGCGTAGGATGCCAAACAATGAATTGCTGAAATTAATTTCTCTTTGGCATTTCATTTTATTTGCAACAATAAAGAAAACGAAGAAGTCTCCAGCCAGAGATATTGATGCCTTGTGGCCGTGGAAGAGGTGGATGTGTGTGCATGTGTGTTTGAGTGTGCTGTGTAGAAACAATTCAACAAACAACACCACTCAACAATGCAACGTGTGGAATTTTAAGGATTTAGTTTGTATGAGTGTGTATGTGTGTGAAATCGATTTTATTATTATTTTTATGACGGTGGGGAAGAGAGAGAGAGAGAGAGACGCCGAATAGAGATCTATTAAATGAGAAAATGCCAAATCTGCCTAAGGATTGGTCGGCTGCGAAATATTTTAGAAATAATTTCAGCTTTGTGGCAAATCCTTAAGATGCACTCGTGTTCATCTTAGGATTCAAAAGGAAAATTTTTTACCAAGGTTTTATATTTCAATTAAAAACAAAAACGGGATTTCTCTTATAACGTATGTTTTGTGTTGGTGGGGCAAACAAGTGCGAGTGTTTTCGTACATGTTTTGCGATCATAAAAATAATAATGAATGCTACAATTTTTAGGGGAGAAAAGCTGTTAAAGGATTTTAAGATTTTGGGGGAACTTGGAGGGAGAAAAAAATACAATTTTGGTATTTCTCATAGAGGGACAATAAATATTTGCATAAAAATCCTCTCATAGCGGACCAAGGGGTCTACTCATAGAAGTTGAATCGCTCTTCTTACAGAAGACGAATAGGTCTTCTCATAGAAAGCGAATCGGCGTTCGCATTCAAGACCACTAGTTCTTCTCAAAGAAGACGAATAGGTCTTCTTAAAGAAGACGAATACAGAGTAAGACAAAAAAAACTGCAACAAAGTCAAACGCCATAATTTTGACATTTTATTGAATGAAAGCAAAAAATGCCGGAAATAGCATCATAATTTAGAATAAATTTAGATTTTTTCGAATTGGTCACCTTTGCCGTGAATTATGGCCTTCAAACGGCCAATGAAACCGTCACACACTTCCCGAACGTTGCTCTGCGGTATTTTGGCCCATTCCCGGCGAAGTGCTTGCTTGAGGTGATCGACATTTTGGTATTTTTTAGTGCCAACCTTGCTTTCCAAAATACTGCAGACACAATAGTCCAAGGGATTGGTATCCGGTGATTTTGGTGGCCATTATGCGCTGAAAATGAAGCGAGGAATCTCATTTTGTAACCATACTTGGTTGGCGCGTGCTGAGTGCGATGATGCTGAATCCTGTTGGAATGCCCAAGGTCTGCGGCCTAAATGTTTGCGTGCCCAAGGCTTTAATACACCCTCCAGAATATATTCCCGATACTATTCGGCATTAATTCTGATGCCACAGTCGATTAATACGAGCGGTGAGCGACCATCTGTTTTAAGGCGGCCCACACCGTCACCATGGCCGGCGCTTGAGTTCTGGTGGCCAACCGAAGGTGCACATTTTCACCTGACCTCTTTGGCAAGTAAACATCATCATTTTGTTTGTTGACAAACTACTGGACAACGAATGTTTTCTCATCGGCAGTTCACCACTTTCGGCCAATCGAAGAAACTCTTTAGCTCTTTTGAGTCTATTTTCTTTCTGTTGCGGTGTAAGTTCTTGCACTTTTTGGAATTTCAATGGCTTTACCCCGAGCTCCTTTTTCAATATTTGCCGAATGGAATATTGCAATATGTTCAGCTCACGTGCTATTTTACGGCCACTTCGAAGCGGGTTTGATCAAGTCGGTTCTTTACTTTTCGAGCCATTTCTGCTGATGTTGCTGTTTTCTTCCATCTACTTCTTGGCGTCGGGCTACGCTACCAGTAACGAGCGATGGTACGAGACACAAAAGATTTATTCACATTTAAATGCTGGAGTGCTCTATCGATGGCCACTTGTGGTTTTCCAGCCAAATATAAAGAAATCACACTATCACGCTTGAATTCTACCACGATTAACAATTTTTTCTGAAAAATTCTCACCAAAATGCCTTTGTGCGGTTGAAAACAATATAATGAGCTGTCACTGGAATAATTTTAACAGCTGTCAGACGAGTGGCTTATAAATGGCAGCAGTCTGAAATTGGTTGCAGTTTTTTCATCTCACTCTGTAGGTCTTCTCATAGAAGAGCAATAGGTCTTCTCATAGAAGAGCAATAGGTCTTCTCATAGAAAACCTATGCGTCTTCTTATAGAAAAGCTATGCGTCTTCTCATAGAATAGCTATGGGTCTTCTCATAGAAGGGCAATTGGTCTTTTTATAAAAGAGCAATAGGTCTTCTCGTAGGAGAGCTATGGGTCTTCTCATAGAAGAGCTATGGGTCTTCTCATAGAAGTGCTATGGGTCTTCTCATAGAAGAGCTATGGGGCTTCTCATAAAAGACCTATGGGTCTTCTCATAGAGGTGCTATGGGTCTTCTCATAGAAGAGTTATGGGTCTTCTCATAGGAGAGCTATGGGCCTTCGCATAGAAGAGCTTCTTCGTATAAAAGACCTATGGGTCTTCTCATAGAAGGCCTGTGGACCTTCAAATTAAATACCTAAAGACTTTCTAATTGAATTCAATCCATAATTTAATTATTTGTCTAGACTTACGGTAACGTAGACCCCCATCTACAACCATGACTTCCATACCCTACCAACCCCGTCATAAATTCATTCATTGTTAAATAATTGATTGAACAATTAATAATTCATCCTCTTTGGCAGCAGAAATGCTTCCTAGAATTCCACGTCGAGGTCTGCTGTGTTACGTTCCGACATCCTTTATTAAACTCTAGTTGTTATTTGTCGATATCGTTTCATTTTAGTCGTTTTTTTCTATTCTCTCTTCAATGCAGCACCACCATCATCTTCTATCCACTTATCTGTGTAAGGACCATGTTTGCAACGACCAAGGACTCTTGGCCAAGAGCTTTCACTTTAAAAAAAACGTTACCATTTTTTTCCGCCTTCAATGAATAGCAGTTTGATGTATTGGACGGATGTTTCTATGAGCTTTTGCTTTTTTTTTAAAGAAGAGCCATTCAAATGTCAAGACCAAAAGGTAGACAATGTTGTTCGGAGTATTTATAAGTGTGTGCGTTTGTTTAGGTGAAAGTAATCAAAGGAAGCTGGTCAATATTTTAAATTTTTCTTTAGAAAAACGAGTATTGGAATTGTAGTCTTTCTTTTAATACGAAATTATTTGTGAAATATTTCCAAAGAATTATTTTCATTTAAAGAAACCTCAAATGAATTCGAATTTTAATAATGAGGCCTTATACATTAGATTGTCTTTTGACATTTTTATGGTCTCAGTGTCTGGAAATTATATTCGTTTCTTTAAATTATTCTTATTAGATCCCCATCCCTTATTTGGCATTCAAAGTCATTGAATCAATGAGCATAACATTTATGAATATTCCATAATAGGTTCACAAAGGGAAAAATCGCCCACTTGGTTTCAATTTAAATGTACTTCAAATTTATAAAGTAACATTTTTCATTTTCAGTTGACTTCACAAAATTACATACACACTCACTCGAGCACACACACACACAGAGATACATTATTCTGACAACTGTTTCAGATGTGACCTTTTACCTTTATTAACATTTTAATGCTCTTGAAATCAGACCCATTTCAAATTGAAAATACCTTAATATATCTGTCTATAATATTTACATATTTTGCAGTATTGTTATGTGTATTATTTTTCGGGACAGTTCAAAATGTTAAAGAATTTAAATAAAGGAATACCCCAATGGGTCCCTCATTAAAGTTCGTTTTATTACCTTGTATCAAAGGATGTACATTCGTATCATCCGCAAAGAAGTGGATTTCAATGGAAATTGGTAGAAACGAGAGTAAAGAATAAGTGGATCTATGATACTTGAAAAATGATGTAATTGTTTAGCCCTTTTTATACCATCAACCTTATGGCGAAAGACATATGGGCAATATAACCAATAATTCAACATAGTTAAATCAATAACAGTTTTAGACCCTAGTTCTTTTGGGCGAAATATTTTCTCTATCAGAGACGATTTCTTTAGGCCCAAGCTTCAAATTTCACAAAAGTGCCGAAAATTATCGTTTCTGAAGAATATACAGGGTGAGATAAAAAACCGCTACAAAGTCAAACGCCATCATTTTTACATTTTTTTAAATTTTATTGAATGAAAGCAAAAAATGTCGGAAATATCATCTAATTTTAGAATAAGTTTAGATTTGTTCGAATTGGTCACCTTTGGCACGAATTGTGGCCTTCAAACAGCCAAGGAAACCGTCGCACGCTGCCCGAATGTTGCTCTGCGGTATTTTGGCCCATTCTCGGCAAAGCGCTTGCTTGAGGTGATCGACACTTTGGTATTTTTTAGTGCAAACCTTGCTTTCTAAAATACTCCAGACACAATAGTCCAACGGATTGGTATCCGGAGATTTTGGTGGTCATTGTGCGTTGGAAATGGAGCGAGGAACCTCATTTTGTAACCATTTTTGGGTGTCGCGCACTAAGTGCGATGGTGCTGAGTCCTGTTGGAATGTCCAAGGTCGGCCAAAATTTTTGCGTTCCCAAGGCTTTAATATACCCTCCAGAATATTTTCGCGATAATATTCGGCATTTATTCTGATGCCAAGGTCTATTAATTCGAGCGGAGAGCGACCATCGGTTTTTATGGCGGTCCACACCATCACCATGGCCGGCGCTTGAGTTCTGGTGACCAACCGAAGGTGCACATTTTCAGATGTAAACACGATAATTTTGTTTGTTTCCAAACTCCTGCACAACGAATGTTTTCTCATCGTTGAAAACCAAATTCGGCAGTTCACCACTTTCGGCCAAGCGAAGCAACTTTTTGGCTCCTTTGAGTCTATTTTCTTTCTGTTGCGGTGTAAGTTCTTGCAAAAAACTGCAACAAAATTCAGACTGCTGTCATTTCTAAGCCACTCACCCGACCGCTGTTAAAATTATTCCCGTGACAACTCATTATATTGTTTACCAGCGTACAAAAGCATTTTGGTGAGAATATTCTAGAAATAAGGTTATTCGTGATGGAATACAAGCGTGATAATGTGATTTCTTTATATTTGGCTGGAAAACCACAAGTGACTATCGTTAGAGTACTCCAGCATTTAAATGCGAATAAATCCTTTGTGTCTCGTGCCATCGCTCGTTACCGTGATACTGGTGGCCTAGCCCGACGTCAAAGAAGTGGATGGAAGAAAACAGCAACATCAGCAGAAATTGTTCGAAAAGTAAAGAAGCGACTTGATCGAAACCCGCGTCGCAGTGGCCGAAAAATGGCTCGTGAGCTGAAAAATGAGCTCCGAGTAATGCCAAATGGGCTCGGGGTAAAGCCATTGAAATTCCGAAAAGTGCAATAACTAGACCTCAACAGAAAGAAAAGAGACTCAAAAGAGCTAAAGAGTTGCTTTGCTTGGCCGAAAGTGGTGATCTACCGAATTTGGTTTTCTTCGATGAGAAAACATTCGTTGTCCAGCATTTTGTAAACAAAGAAAATGAACACGATCATTTTCTTTGTTTACAAAATGCTTGCTAAAAAGGTCAGCTAAAAATGTGCACCTTCGGCTGGCCACCAGAACTTAATCGCCGACCATGGTGATGGTCGTGATGATACTAGTAGCTGGTAGCCTGACGTCAAGGAAATAGACGGAAGAAAACAGCAATATCACCAGAAGTGGTTCGAAAAGTAAAGAAGCCACTTGATCGAAACGACGTGGCCCAAAAATGTCTCGTGAGCTGAACATATCACAATATTCCATTCGACAAATATTGTAAAATGAGCTCGGGGTAAAGTCATTGAAATTCAAAAAAGTGCAGGAACTTACACCGCTAGGCCGTGAACTGCCGAATTTGGTTTCCTCCGATGAGAAAACATTCGTTGTCCAGCAGTTTGTAAACAAACAGCTGAAAATGGGCAACTTCAGTTGGCCACCAGAACTAAAACGCCGGCCATGGTGATGGTGTGGGCCGCCATAACAGCCGATGGTCGCTCTCCTCCGTGGTATCAGAATAAATGCCGAATATTATTGCGAAAATATTCTGGAAACATTTTGATGCAAACAACACGCGCCACCCAAGAATGGTTACAAAATGAGGTTCCTCGCTTCATTTCCAGCGCACAATGGCCACCAAAATCTCCGGATACCAATCCGTTGAACTTTTGTGTCTGGAGTATTTTGGGAAGCAAGCGCTTCGCCGGGAGTGGGCCAAAATACCGCAGAGCAACATTCGGGCAGTGTGTGACGGTTTCGTTAGCCGTGAAGGCCATAATTAGCGCCAAAGGTGACCAATTCCAACAAATCTAAACTAATTCTAAAAGTTGATGCTTTTTCCGACAGTTTTTGCTTTTATTCAATCAAATTTAAAAAAAAATGTAAAAAGTATGGAGTTTGACTTTGTTGCAGACTCTATCTCACCCTGTATATCCGATACGTATTTTTAACATCTGTGACCGGAGAAGCCATCTGTGACCTGAAAAGCCAAAAATGGTTATTACTTTTAATTTGTGCGCTGCGTTTCCTCCAATTATTGATTTTCAAAATATTTTTTAACAAATTTGGAAGATATCGGACACACTTAAAAACAGTGAAGAAAGTCTTAAAGTCGGGCGGGCCGACTTTATGATGCCCTACACTACTTTGCTAATTTAGTAGAACTCCGCATAACAATTAAAAGTTTTTATGGGAGAATTCAATCATACACGCTATGATTATAATTATAATTTAAAGTTCAAAGGACTAAATATGCCGAAGCATTTGTATCTTTTAAATTCGGACTTGTATTGCCCATTAGGTGCACAATTAATTTGAAATCGGATAAAAACAAATATGGGAACCGATCTCGATAAAATTTTGGCAAAGATATTTCTGAGCTGTATTTGATATATTTCCCTGAATATCGTGTTACGGAGTGCATATTACGGCTGTGGGTAACAAATATGCAAATCGGATGAACAGTATATATGGGAGCTATAGCTACATCTGAACCGCTCTTCACCAAATTTGGCATACTAGCTTTTAGACTCAATTCCGTCGTAAGTGCCAAATCTCATGGAATTTGGGCAAATATTAGACGTTTGGTGCACAATAAAAGGTAAATCGGACGAAGTTATATATGGGAGCTATATCCAAATCTGAACCGATCTCGATAAAATTTAGCAAATGTATTTCTGAGCTGTATTTGATATATTTCCCCAAATATTGTTGTTGCAGGGTGCATATTACGTCTGTGGAGGACAAAAATAACAAATCGGATGAACAATATATATGGGAGCTATAGCTATATCTGAACGGATTTCGATCAAATTTGGCATACATATTTTCAGGTCCAATCTGATCGTAAGTGCAAAATTCCATATTATTCGGACTGATATTACACGTTTGGTGCACAATAAAAGGAAAATCAGACGAAGATATATATGGGAGCTATATCTAAATTTTGACCGATTATCTCCAATTTCAATAGGGTTCGTCCTTGGGCCAAACAAATGATTTGTGCAAAATTTCATCTGGATAGGGCAATAAATGCGAACTGTACTTTGTTTACAAAAATACATGGACAGACGGACAGACGGACGGACGGACATGCATAAATCGGCTCAGAATGTGATTCTATGCAGACCATCAAAAGCAACTATGGGTCTATCTCGTTTCCTTTTGCCTGTTACAAACAAATGCACAAAGACATAATACCCTGACCACCTTGTGGTGTAGGGTATAAAAATTGTTATCACCTGGTAGCTCTACCTTACCTTTCTGTTGTACCATGTATCTACCATTTGAATATATGGAAATAAATTTAGAATTTTTAAAATAAATTCCAAGGATTCCACGAATATTCATGCTAACTATTTAACTCATTTCCCTAGCCTTAAGACCACATTATGTAATAATAGTTTTTAACCTAAATCCCAACTAAAACCACTATTTTCATTTGAATTTTCCACAACATAGATGGGAAAATGTGTTTAATGTTATTTATGGCAAATTTCACACAGTTCCGGCTTTGAAGCGAACGAACAAGCCACATTTTAAGGAAACACAAACACACACACGCACCCACATTGAAATTGCTTCGGATTTTTGCGCTCAAAAGGAAGACGTTGATGGAAGCCACAAGAAAATACAATAACTCAATCTAAACAATCTCTGCCATGCCATATGCTCATAGAGGGGGTAAAAAGAGATGGGGAGATGGGGGAGAGGAGAGGTAGAACGAGGTTATGGGTTTGGCTTCCATTTATGCTAATAAATGCCAGTATTTAAAAGCACCTATGTATGAACAAAGAAGAAAAAATGTAAAACAACAAACAAAAGAAAGCAAAACCTAAAACAATGCTTTTAAGAGAAAAATGTTTACACATCCTGTTAGAACATTTTCTGGGAAGCGATATTTTTGCCAAAAGTGCTGCTACAGCTGCCGATGGTGGTTACGATGATGAATATAAAAATGATGATGATGATGATGTTGACGATGCAAATGATGGTTATTGATTTCTTTTTTTGCTGTTACTCACCGCGAATTCATCCAACAGTATATAATCGGATTGTACATGGAATTACTCATTGCCAGCCAATATATGAACAGGTACACCTCCTGTATGAAGGGTGTCTCAGTGATGGCCGGATAGCAGGAAGTCACAATGAAATATGCATGAAATGGCAGCCAACAGACGACAAATATTAAAACCACAACCATCATCATTTTAACCACCTGAAAGAGAAGAGACGACAAAAATGGAAAGGAAAGCAGATGATGAAAATGCCACACATAGCTTAGATTGTTACAAGGAGCACAACAATTTTAGAAGTGGATATGCCAATGGCATATTCATCCACATTTACCATTAAATTGTTGTTGTTGTAATTTTTTTTTTTTTTTTTGAAATTCATGACATATTTTTGATAACATCATCGCCATCGTATCATCAAGCATTGACTTACACGACGTTTACTTTTTACATTCTCCACCTGACGCGGTGTATATTCACCAATGGCCTTGGAACCCCACAGCTCCAATCCCACACGCGAATAGGTTGCGGTCATTGATATGACGGGTAGAAAATATGTGAGTATCATAAATAATATGTTGTAGCTGCAAAGAAACCAAGAAGAATAGGAAAAAAGGGAGAGAGAGGGATTTGTTATTCAAATTATTTGAAAATATGTGATACAAAATATGTGTGTATGTCTCTTTGCCGAGACTTAACATATCATAACAAATTTTATATGGAAAATAACCACACACACACACTCTCAAATTGTTTTGTGAAATATTATATTCATAATATTTTCATTTGTTATGTGTTTTATTTTTATTTCGATTTTTGATTTCATATAAATACAAATTTATTTGTTATTTCCTCTGACTTGACGTGGTTTCGCATTCAAATTATATCGATTTGACAAATATTATTCATAACATCATCAAAAATATGAAATTTATTTAAATTTTAATTGCCATGGAGAGGATAAATGTTATCTGGCATGTTTTTATTATGGTACATTTTTATTTATTGGTCTTCCAATGCGGCACTGCCATGCGTATGAGTATTGTCGCTGGAAATATAATCATCACACGCAGGGGTGAACATAATATGCAGTTGAATATAAAATTTAAAAAGTCTATACATTACGCGTGCATTACGCGTAAAGAAAGTCTTAAAGTCGGGCGGGTCCGACTTTATGATACCCTACACCACTTTGCTAATTTAGTAGAGCTTCGCTTTACAATTAAACGTTTTTATGGGAGAATTCAATCATACACGCCATAATTATAATTATAATTTAAAGTTCAAAGGACTAAATATGTCGAAGCATTTGTATCTTTTAAATTCGGACTTGTATTGCCCATTTGATGCACAATTAATTTGAAATCGGATAAAAATAAATATGGGAGCTATATCCAAATCGGAACGGATCTCGATAAAATTTGACAAAGATATTTCTGAGCTGTATTTGATATATTTCCCTGAATATCGTTGTTACGGAGTGCATATTACGGCTGTGGGTAAAAAATATGACAAATCGGATGAACAATATATATGGGAGCTATAGCTATATCTGAACCGATCTTCACCAAATTTGGCATACTAGCTTCTAGACTCAATTCGGTCGTATGTGCCAAATTCCATCCCATTTGGACAAATATCAGAGGTTTGGTGCACAATAAAAAGTAAATCGGACGAAGTTATATATGGGAGCTATATCCAAATCTGAACCGATCTCGATAAAATTTAGCAAATGTATTTCTGAGCTGTATTTGATATATTTCCCAAAATATTGTTATTACAGACTGTATATTACGGCTGCGGAGGACAAAAATAACAAATCGGATGAACAATATATATGGGAGCTATAGCTATATCTGAACCGATTTCTATCAAATTTGGCGTACTTATTTTCAGGTTCAATCTGATCGTAAGTGCAAAATTCCATAATATTCGGACTGATATTACACGTTTGGTGCACAATAAAAGGCAAATCGGACGAAGATATATATGAGAGCTATATTTAAATTTTGACCGATTATCTCCAATTTCAATAGGGATCGTCCTTGGACCAAACAAATGATTTATGCAAAATTTCATCTGGATAGGGCAATAAATGCGAACTGTACTTTGTTTACAAAAATACATGGACAGACGGACGGACGGACAGACGGGCGGACGGACATGCATAAATCGACTCTGAATGTGATTCTATGAAGATCATCAAAAGGAACTATGGGTCTATCTCGTTTCCTTTTTCCTGTTACAAACAAATGCACAAAGACATAATACCCTGACCACCTTGTGGTGTAGGGTATAAAAAAAAGCTGTAAGTTCGGCTGGGCCGAACTTTGAATACCCTCCACCATTTGGAACGAATTTGAATCTTTGAAGCTAGAATCTTGAAATTTTGTACGAGGGTCAGCTTTGGTGCGTAGGCGTGTGATAAGGCTAAATTTTTGGAAATTCATACTGAAGAATACGAAATTTTTAGGAATTCGAACTTTATGGTTACGATATAGCGCCCATACATATTCAACCGATTTCGGGTTAATTGTGCGCCAAATGGCCAATATCAGTGCAAATGACCTGCATTTTGGCACATCTGAGGGAATTCAATCTAGAAGCAAGTACATACAATCAGAAGAAAATCGGTATAGATTTAGCTATAGCTTCCATATATATGTTTCATCCGATTTGGGATTTTTAGTCCCTCACATGCATAATATGCACTCCACAAGAATGATATTTGATACCGGACGTCAGATACTGCTTGAAAATACCTCTGTCAAATTTTATCGAAATCGGTTCAGATTAGGAGATAGCTCCATTATATATCTTTATCCGCAATAATAAATGAGTTAATATTGAATGAATTTTTATTTCCACAAGCCGTTGGGCGTTGTGCTCTTTATTGTTATCCAAATCGAACTGAAAGCTAGAAATAATTTCAACTTAATTCTAAATATCCAAAATGCTGACTATGCGCTTGTGCGTTCGTTGACTGCTAGCAGTTGGCTTCTTCCAGGAGTTGGATGTTGAAGTATCTGGTTGCAAGAATTTCATCGTATGATGGCTGCAACAATGACTTAGCACCAACATCATGCCGTCAACGCGTGTTTTACTTGACGATAACTTATTGGTGGGAGACTGTGTTAACTTATATCCTTAATCCGCTTTCAGGTTTATTGTTAAAATAATAGCTAATATCAGCCCAATGAAAGCAAAAAAAAAAAAAAAAAAAAAAAAAAAAAAGGAAATAGCATCAAAATTTAGAATATATAGGTTTGGATTTGTTCGAATTGGTCACCTTTGGCACGAATTATGACCTTCAAACGGCCAATGCTGCCTGAATGTCGCTCTGTGGTATTTTGAATATTTTCGCGATATCATACGACATTTATACTGATGCCACGGTCGATTAATACAAGCGGAGTGCGACCATCGGCTGTTATGGCGGCCCACACCATAACCATGGCCAGAGTTCTGGTGGCCAACCGAAGGTGTACATTTTCAGCTGATCTCTTTGGCAAGTAAACACGATAATTTTGTTTGTTTACAAACTGCTGGAAAGCGAATGTTTTCTCATCGGAGAAAACCAAATTCGGCAGTTCACCACATTCCGCCAAGCGAAGCAACTCTTTGGCTCTTTTGAGTCTATTTTATTTCTATTGCAGTGTAAGTTCTTGCTCCTTTTGGAATTTCAATGGAATATTCAGTTCACGAGCCAAGTTTCGCCCACTGCGACGCGGGTTTCGATCAAGTCGCTTCTTTACTCTTCCAACCATTTCTGCTGATGTTGCTGTTTTCTTCCGTCCACTTCCTTGACATCGGACTACGCTACCACTATCACGGCAACGAGTAATGGTACGAGACACAAAAGATTTATTCAGATTTAAATGCTGGAGTGCCCTAACGATAGCCACTCGTTGTTTCCAGCCAAATATAAAGAAATCACACTATCACGCTTGAATTCCGTCACGATTAACTTTTTTTTCTAAAAAATTCTCACCAAAATGCTTTTGAACGTTTGTAGACAATATAATGTGCTGTCACTGGAATAATTTTAACAGCTGTCGGACGAGTGGCTTAGACAAGACAGCAGTCTGAAGTTGAATGTTAAAATGTCTCCGTCAAATTTAGTGAAAAACGATTCAGAAATATGTCCAATATAGGACCTACATGGCCCATTTTCAATACCAAAAGTCCTGCAGACATAATATACATTTGAGTATAATTTTATCAACCTACTACGGACGGACATCGCTAAATCGACATAGAATTTTATGCTGATCAAGGATATATATACTTTGTGGGGTCTAAAATGTATACTTCGAGGTATTACAAACGGAATGACAAACTTAATTATTATTATTATTATTAGTATTATTATTATTATTATTATTATTATTATTATTATTATTATTATTATTATTATTATTATTATTATTATTATTATTATTATTATTATTATTATTATTATTATTATTACTATATTTTTATACCCTTCATACTATGGAGGATGGTTTAAAAAGTACCTGAAAGGCCCTTTGGTGGCCAGCTTGAGGGTTGAAATTGTCGTTGAATTCAGTAATATTGCCGAAGACACATTATACCTAAAAAGCTAGCATTCCAAGGAAACCGAAAATTTAAAAAAAAAATCAAGTGGTGAACTCGCCTCCTGCATTTAGGTTAATTTGCGATGTAAACTTACAATTCACCGATACACGTGTCTTCTACTTTTTACTCTATTTCTATTTGATTCTTAGCGTAAAATTCAAAGGAATCCGTTTCAGGTTTTATTATTGTAATATTAAAATTTAGACAATGTCGTACATGTATAAATATTCAACTTACTTGAATTTATTGAAATTGTCCTCAATTACTATAAATATGTATGCTTTGTCATAAATACCGAACAATAGCATTTAACCCCTTTGAAAAACACCATGATACGTTATGCTATTTATCCTATAGAATTTCCATGGAATTGCACTACCAGCATAAAAATGCCAAATATTGAATACCCATTCCCGTATGTAATTTGTCTATTCAATTAAATACAGACAGGCGAACAGACAGAGTGACAGATGTTATAAAAACACAGAGACCAACGACATAATAAAAAAGTGGGCTGGCTGTTTGGCTAAACGATTGTCAATAAAAAATTATTGTTAGTATCGAACATTTGAGTTTGTTTGTTTTTTTTTCTTTTGGCAACTTTTGGTAGTTTGTGGCAGCAATTGTTGGCCAAAAAAAATTGTTATGACTCCTCCATAGCAATGTAATCGAAGCTACTAGAATTTCTATGACATTGCACAGTTTTGGCAACATTCACACGTATTTCTCTACTTAAAGTCAAAATGTTGGCAATTATTCCTGCTTCGATAGATAGAAATATTGAATTAAACAGGGATGGGCAGAGCCAGCCATCCATCAATGAGGTTAAATGAAATTGCAAAACATTTGACCAAAATGAGAATTTTCTCTCGTTTCGTTATTGCCCAAGTTTCGGTTTAGTGCTGATCAATTGCCGACCATTTTTATATCTCTTACAAATTGTTTGCGATATGTCTGTCATTGGCTCTGTGTGTGTGTGTGTGTG